GTTAACCAACACAATATCTTCCACTGCGTGACTAGCCTCAGCACATCTGTCTAATTTTTAAACACCTCAAATGTGAGAAATAATGCTTGAATGTTAACTATTCATACGAGCATGACCTTTAACCTCCATTACAAATTCTAACTGCTGAGGACATTTTCCTGAAAGACACGGTAAGATTAGCCTTAGCTTTGCAGTCATAGATTCATCTGTGTTGGATGAATTATTACAGTGCTAACAGTACATACAGTATACTGCTTTTTTATAAATAAAAAAAAGTGAAACCATTTTTTTAATTATAATATTTAATATAATATATTTTCCACAGTAAATTTTTAACATGCATTATTATTTTATGTAATACAGTAAATTAAATATAATGTTATATTTATACACTCGTTTTATATACACAAACGTATTAATATCCCCAAAAAATTAAATTATTTATTTAGTTACTTTATTTATTAAAAATTTAATTACACTTTTTTCATACAAATGATCCAATCATCAATCATTATACACAGCCTGATCCAATAATAAGGAAGAAAACATAATAAACAAATAAATAAATAACAGTTGATATCCCTTTCAGTTAATTTGCCACACTAGCAATAGAAGGTTAAATCGAGAGCATTGCACTGAGGGATACAGTAATCCACACTCGGTTTACTGCACATTTTATCATCCAGGCATGCTATGCATACAGAAACTTTGCATACCATACAGTAAACATACTGCGGAACGAGCTTTATAGTAGTATGCAATTCCAAACATACTCTATGCTCGTAACATGCAGCCACAATGCAAAACAGCACAGAATTCACATGAACAGTGGAACATTAACAAACAACCTGTGTTCCTATATTTGGATATCAGCTGACTTGCACGTTATACAGCTGGTTTACTCGGAAAGGTGAGAGAATGCTCATGACCTTTGAGTTCATTGATGTTGAAGTAGATTAATGTACCAAAGGTTTAGAAAGCAGGACAGACAGTAGCTTACTGCTAGTACACCAGACAAGACACTCAGAACACTGATTATGTTATCAGATCAGCCAGAACATGGAAAGAATAGCAGAATTAAGTGTTTGTTATGTTCCAGATGTAATCAACTTTTAACATTCAGACAGTGTGCAACTCATATCAAACAAAAACAATGGATAAGCTTTAGTTTTCTAAGGAAGAATCATTAAAATTCCAATAAGAGGAACGTTACAAATAAAGCAGCATTCCTGCAGCGCTTCAGTAGTTCACTGGAACTTACAGCCATTCAAGCCATTCAAACCATTCAAAACATGCGTCTACCCTCTAACCATCAGTCTAGCACAGATATGGATGAAACTTTCATGCAAATATATATGGCAATGCAAACAGAGACCAGGGCAATAGGGAAATATTTAATTATGTTCCAAAAATATTTGCTGCAACACTTTATTGGAATACGATCATACAGCTTATTAGGCAATACATTGTGTTTTTTTGTTACATTTTCCAGCAATAAATGTTTTATAAAAAAATTATTATTTAAATAATAATTATATATGTAATAATATAATAATTAGATATTTGTTATTAATTGTTATTATCATTATATAATTTTAGATTTTATTTATTATTATTATTATTTAGTCTACCCTCTAACCATCAGTCTAGCACAGATATGGATGAAACTTTCATGCAAATATATATGGCAATGCAAACAGAGACCAGGGCAATAGGGAAATATTTAATTATGTTCCAAAAATATTTGCTGCAACACTTTATTGGAATACGATCATACTGCTTATTAGGCTATACATTGTGTTTTTTTTGTTACATTTTCCAGCAATAAATGTTTTATAAAAAAATTATTATTTAAATAATAATTATATATGTAATAATATAATAATTAGATATTTGTTATTAATTGTTATTATCATTATATAATTTTAGATTTTATTTATTATTATTATTATTTTGCACAATGTATTCATTTATGAATATTGTTGGCTCTGTAACAAATTGCTTATGTTCCTCTACTGTCGTTTTAGGTAGATGCACAGAATGTAATGTAAATGCAAATGTAATAATATAATTCAAAGTTACACTATATAAATCTTAATATTAATCATGAAACTTCAAGATCTCTGCAAACATGCATACAGCCTACTAAAACAGCATTAAATAAGATACTATATAAGAGGAGGAGTGATGGAGGCGGCAGTGCACAAGTAGTCAATGCGCAATGCACTGCACCCCCAGCTGCGAAGCATGAGCTAGAGTGGGCCGCACACACACACACACTCCACACATGTAGGCAGGAGTGGGAGACTGATCTATATGCTGGGGAGTATGTGTGCACAGCACAGGGAGAGGCAGAAGGAGGGAGTGCATCAGCAACCGTTACTCACTTTCTCCCACGTGACATTCCTCTTTCAACGACAAAAACGAAAGAGAGCAAAGAGCGGCAGGAATGCGGCCAACAGTCGAGCTGAACAGGGATTTCTGAATGCCAAGGAGCTCATGAAGAGGCAGTGATGAAAATAACAACGTTTTTTTAATGCCACCTAGTCCAAATCACACACATGAATCATTATTTTTGGATAAGCTGCTGTTTGTGCTTGCACCTCCATCGCTTGTCTTAGATGCAAGCATATTACATAGCATGCTATAAAAGCTGCTACATAATCCTGCCATGTGGACCTTCAGTGAAGTGATATAAGCTGTTACAAGACAAGTGCAATCCCAAGAGATCTACGGTCTCTGTGGGGAAGGGCAGATGTTTATGCAACAACTACCGGCACATGTCATGTACCTGAGGAATATGAAATGATGTGAATGTCAGTTAGTCGAAATGTTTCATCCATTCTGCTGCGAACTGGAAAAAAGCTGAGCTGCTGACTCATTTTTTTTTTAAAGCTCACTACACAAATAGCATAGTCATCATGACCCAGGCACTTTTGAAGCTTCTATCTTGCCAAGCCTTTCATAACACCTTCAGCTCTTTCACAACACAGACAGAGTAAAGGACTTAAGTGTGGGGTATTGAACTACAGACCACACATCCATCTGTTGAATAACAACCTTCTTTAGCTTGCAAAACATCACAAAATCTACCACGTTCTGTAGCTATTTTAGGCACTGCCTTTTTCATATTTTAAGCATTTAAAATGCTAAAATTGAAATTTACTCCATGAGTTAAGACTATTTCAGCAAATGATGTCACATATGAAATATGTTACATATGGAATTGTCCAACAGCTTAGTGTTTAGTCTGAAAGTCAGTGCAAGACATGCATGACTATCTATCACTCACTGGCAGGCTTCTAGTCAGTGTATGGCAAAAACAGAAATGACCACAGTCCCTACAGTATATTTCCTGTCTGCCTCAAAAATGATCTCTAGATAAAACCAGACAAAATTCAGACTGATGTATTGGAAGGTGTTTTCTCTGAAGCATGTTTTTCCAAACAGGACCCCATACTTTCCCCCCACAGTCTGCGAGTCAGTCAGCTGACGCAAGGCAGCAGGAATCTGGTCAGGGGTTTCGTCCCGTCTAGACTGAGCAGAATGGAACTGCAGACAGAATCGCAGTGGAAAACAAAAGCAGAGCCTCTGCAGTGAAGTCCTATACTGCCACTCTGTGGTGTAGCATATGTATGGCACTTATATATGACTACTGTACTCTTTAGATGTACAAACCCAATTCCAAAAAAGTTGGGACACTGTACAAATTGTGAGTAAAAAAGGAATGGAATAATTTACAAATCTCATAAACTTATATTTTATTCACATTTCTCAGTGTAAACATTTGATATGTCATCTATTTTGTATTCTGAATGAAATATTGAAATTTGAAACTTCCACATCATTGCATTCTGTTTTTATTCACAATTTGTACAGTGTCCCAACTTTTTTGGAATTGGGTTTGTATTTATATAATAGTAACATATTACAAAAATCAAATGGTTGTTAACTTTGACTTTACAACCGCAAATGTATTGCAAAGATTTCCAAGATATTAAGTCAAATTTATATAGGCCTATATTATATATTTTAGCATAACAATATGAAGAATCAAACATTTCAGTCAATTTTCAGTGTTTGGTATGCCCCCTTTTCTTCCATTTTTAATTTATTTCCAGGTTTAAATTAGATTTTGAATCACAATCAGGTCTCAGACTCCACTATATGAATACAGAAAACTGTGTATTTTAGTTTTTCATTTTCATGCTGTAGTGTGACATCTCCTGCATTCCTAAAATTCCAAAAATATTAATTTTAAATATTCCATGTAGTAAGAACAGATATATTAGGTCTTTTATCTTTAGACAATATAGGACTGCTGTAACTAGAAGTTAATCCAAAGCAAAAAGACCATTTGAAACTCCCATGAAGCGGTTAGTGTGTGTGTGTGTGTGTGTGTGTGTATACTGCTTTAGTGGTTCACTTTATGGCTTATTCTAGAACAAATAACCCAATATAGCTATAGCTATAAAGGACTTCTAGAAATACTACATAGAAAAACTAGTATCATTAACATATTACAAAAATAATAATAATAATTATATATACAGTGGGTACGGAAAGTATTCAGACCCCCTTAAATTTTTCACTCTTAGTTCTCCTTTCGTTATTTGACTTCTAGACAAGTCAAACATAGAATCCGAATCCCTATATTTTATCAAATGTGAAAACAGCATGTCAATTACAAGCAAGTACACATCCACTGTCTATCTATCAGCAATGAACCACAAGGAAGCCTCATCTGTCTCTGTTAACAAAACTGAACTGTGGCCCTGGGTGGTTGCTATGGATACAGCTCATTGCAGGCTGCAGAGAGTATATGCATGAATCAGAGGAATACTGTTACTTTGACACCCTCATGTGGTCAAAAGTGGTCATGCTGCATCAGATAACCTGTAGGCCTGAATGTACAATTCCCTGCCAGTTTGAGTACAAACATAACAAACATCTGCATTCCTATTCAGATCAGTAGAACTTGTATTTGGACTTTGTCTTACCTGGATGATGGAGAGGCTGGAGACTAAAGCTGGCTCAGGGACCTGCAGGCAACTTCGCTTGTCTAGAACACACAAACACAAGGCACAAATCATTTATCAGAACAAGTAAACACTCAAGCAATGTGTTATTTACCTATTTGAGTGGTTCCTGCAAAATAAAATTACTTTTTATCAGTGAATAAAAGTAGGTATTGCTATAACAGCTATATTTCAATTTAAAAAAGTGACATGATCAACCAAAACAATGTCACAATCAAAACGTTGTTTAATGATATATATACAGGTGCACCTCAATAAATTAGAATGTCGTGGAAAAGTTCATTTATTTCAGTAATTCAACTCAAATTGTGAAACTCGTGTATTAAATAAATGCAATGCACACAGACTGAAGTAGTTTAAGTCTTTGGTTCTTTTAATTGTGATGATTTTGGCTCACATTTAACAAAAACCCACCAATTCATCTCAACAAATTAGAAAACTTCATAAGACCAATAAAAAAAACATTTTTAGTGAATTGTTGGCCTTCTGGAAAGTATGTTCATTTACTGTACATGTACTCAATACTTGGTAGGGGCTCCTTTTGCTTGAATTACTGCCTCAATTCGGCGTGGCATGGAGGTGATCAGTTTGTGGCACTGCTGAGGTGGTATGGAATCCCAGGTTTCTTTGACAGTGGCCTTCAGCTCATCTGCATTTTTTGGTCTCTTGTTTCTCATTTTCCTCTTGACAATACCCCATAGATTCTCTAT